CTGCCATCCCTGACTCAAGGCAATCGCGAGGCTTTGAGAGATTAACAGGGGCTGGAGCCGGCCTGCCTAGCCCGCGGGGCGGGGTCGCTTTCTAGCAGGAGCCCCTCTCGGTGGCTAGCAGGTGGAGTCACGATCCGGTCCCCGCGCACCCGCTCACTGCCACCCAGCGCCCCATCCCCGCTGGTCCCTGCACTAAATGCTCTCTGCTTACATGCATGCCCGGATGCGGCCCCTACCCACAGGGCGTCCAAGGTTGGGGGGCGCGGTGCAGAGGGGTACCTGTCCAGGATCGATCACGCCGGTCACGCCCCCCATCTGAGGACAGGAGCGTTTAGCATAGCAGGGCCCGCGGGTTCCTAGTGCCCACCTGTAGGACCGAGCCATGCCAAACTGACCCGGGATGCGGGCACCGAGGCCAGGCCAACGTCGCTTTCTGTGTTCAGCCGAGACATCAAGCTGAGTGGAGCTAGACCGGTGCAGACCACTGGGGTGGGCAGGGCAAGGGTCTGCGCCTGAGGCCAGGAGGCCTCCCATGTCCCTTGCGTTCCTTCACGGTGCCTGGCAAGGAGGTCACCCGTGCCATCACCTTGCCTGTGGCCGGGCTGGTCTGTCCATCTTTCAAGTCTCCAACCTGGAGCCGCAGGCTGCAGTGCCGGGTGCCCGGGCGTGCGCGTGTGTGTGCTCCACCAGGCCCACCCGAGGCAGCCCCGGGGAACTCTGAGGGTGTGGCCTGGCCGACCCTGTGTGGATAATTTCTGGGGCGAGGGGACGTGCGCTCGGCTAGTAGATAGGGCGAACGGTCGCTCCGTCCCCAGCTGGAAACGAAAGCCTGAGGCCACCGGGACCTGTTCGGGTCGTCGCCCGCCCCCGCCCCCGCCCCGCCCCCACCCTGCGGGCGCCCGGGCGCAGGTGTCTCGGGGCCGCGCCTTCCCCCGCCCCCGCCCAGGAAAGCGGTCAGGAGGGAGTCGGCGGGGAGGGGTCCGGGATAGATGCGTCGGTGTCACGGGGGAGAGAAGAGAAAAGGGAGGGGAGCGCGGGGAGCGAGAGAGCGCGCGGCGAGCGAGGAGGCGGGCGGGAGGCGGATCCTCCTACCTGGGGCGCGCTCGCTGCTCTCGGCTCTCTTGCCGGGCCCGAGTCACCTGGGGAGCCCGACAAGTGCGGACACATTGGCCGCCGCGGCGCTCGGCGAGGCGCGCACGGCCCCAGGCGGCTGCGCCCGTGGAGGCAGCGCCCGC